TCTGCCTTAGCCTCCTGAGTACCTGGGACTACAGGCACATGCCACCACACTCAGCTCATTTTAAAATTTTTTTGTAGAGACAAGGTCTCACTATGTTGCCCAGGCTGGTCTCGAACTTCTGGGCTCAAGCAATTCTCTCACCTTAGCCTCCCAAAGTGCTAGGATTACAGGCATGAGCCATTGTACCTACAACATATTACTTTTGTCTTCATGTTAGCGCTAATAATTTTCAGAAATAAAAGGGGACCATTCTCAATATCCAAATTAATACATTCACTTATTCATTGAGCAGGATCATGTGCCAAGGGCCATGTTTCTAAGTACCAGGAACACGAAAATGACTTAAGTCCAGTCACCACCCTTGAGGAGTGCAGAGTATATTAAGGAATATAGGTTGAAAAGAGCTGCTTCACCCTGTAGTGAATGTCACAGTTGGGTCTGAACAATGTTCGAATAAACAATGTCACGGTTAACTCTACTCGGGGTGAGAGTCTGTCAGGAAAGACTTCACCAAAGGTAATGGATTTGAAACTTGCACTAGGAGTAGACGTTTCATTTGCCCAGTCCTGTTGACTTGAATTTGCATGGCACATGGAAGAGACATTAAGTGGTGGATACAACTGACTGGAGATAGATCCAGTAGGACTGAGTGGCAGAGAGAAGTGGTATTGGCAGGGAGAGGGAGGGGTCCAGGATAGGCTCCAGGGGTTTTAACCTGGGTGTCCCCCATCTCCTATCGGAATAATAGTAAACTCTTAACATCTGGTCAAGTTGAATCAAGATGCTTGCCTGGAAACCACTCAGAAAGTCAGAAGTGATCACAGGGCCATGGTGAAGTGCTGTGAAGGGGTCCAGGAGACTTCCTGGGTAGCTGATATTTGAGTTGGGCCTTCAAGAAAGGAGGATAAAAGGGAGAAATATGTGTGGGAATAAAGGTGTGTCAGGTCAAAGGCACAAAGATCCTTGTTGGGCTCTGGAAACAGCTGAGGGTGGCTAGTACACCACCACATCATAAAATATTATGAAAAATATAGAAAATATAGAAAAACTGACTATTTCAGCTTTCTGGTCAGTGTGCATATATGTGTGCATCTTGGGGAGGGGAGCAGAGCAGACAGTAAGCATGTAAAGGTAGGCTGAGAAAGTTTAAAACCCAAACTTTGAGTTTAGATTATGCCCCAGGAGATGGGGAAAAGATGAAAGTTTTAAGCATGGGAGTCACATGATCAGATTTCTACTTAAGAATTTTTCTTCTGTTTCAGACACAATGCTGGGAATTTGGATAGACTTTTATAAAAAGATTGATATAATAATCAGTTGAACATAAAGGAATAAAGAATGCCTGTTGATTATCTGTCTACTCTTCATTATGGAGGGCTTGTAGGTTGGGATTTTTCTGAGTGATTCCATTAGCCTGTAGGAGATGTGGCTACCCCTAGTACCCCAGTCAGGTGAGATGGAGTTACAGCTCACTGGCCAATGTAAAGACTGACAGGAACCGCCTCCCAGACTAAATTTCTTGTGTCACCCCATTTGATGAATACCTGTGACATTCGGCATAGCAGTCCCATCAAGATGCCTTCATTGGATTTCACTCTTTAATGACTCAATAATTGAAATATCTTGAGTTAGAAATCTTAATCCCTTGCCTCAATTGAGTTGGTTATTTTTTCTGATTTGCACTGAATTGTGGGGATTGAAATATATACACACACAATAGCTGGGGCAGCCATGCTTCCTTGGGCTCTCATATCCTTGTACATCAATTTACATACTTGGTCTCTGGACAGAGACCTCAGAACTATGTGCCATCTCCCCAAGAGTCCTATCTAGTTGAAGTAACAAACAGATGGGTTTGCCCCAATCTAACAGGTATACTTGTTTCATTAGAATTGGGAAAATTCAGAATGACCTGGCCTTTGTACCTAGAGCCCCCAAGGCATTCTGGGAGGGATCAGGGGTGGTTCTACCTGGGCATGATCCATGACAACCTGACATCAAGTATGCTGAACTCATGCTTCTGCAGGTGTAGAGCCAGGAGCAATGTTTCAAAGAAGTATTATCTATAAAGCTGAATCCTGTACAGATGCCAAAATAGACTATTAAAATGGTCCCAGATCATTGCAGTGGTTTCCTAGACAATTTCCATTCAGCAAATGTGTATGGTGTAACTTTGCCATATTTCTTGGTGACACTTGGCAAGTCACTTCTTATCTGTGTCTCTAATTTCTCACCTAGAAAATACAGTTGTTGGGTTAAAGTCATTTTAAGGTGTTTTCTGGTTCTGACATTTTGTGATTTTGGGGATTCACTGCTGAGGTACCACATAAGTTCTCCTCCTCTTCATAAACCCACCTAACAGGGATATTTTGAGCATCCAGAATATACTGGGCCCTCTAGTAGGCATTGAACAGCCTCACCTCCATGTCTTTTTCTAATGAACTTACTTTAGTGGGAAGACATGGAGATGACTTGTCATTAACTGGTGATTGATAGCAGCCTCACCTCCATGACTTTTTTTAATGAACTTACTTTAGTAGGAAGACATGGAGATGACTTGTCATTAACTGGTGATCGATAGCTGTTCCATCTTTTCTTCAAAGCCATTGGTTCAGTGTTTATATTTCCCTCCCTTGCCTTTGGTTAAGCTCCCTTGGACTTTTTTCTTCTGGGGCATCATTGCACATCATTGTTAGGTCTGCTCCAGCAAAGCTGCCCTCTCTTTGGACTTTATAACCCCTTCCTGGGAACTCATAATAAGAATTTCTTCAACCATGGGCATGCATACTGGGGACTTATCCAGGAGTGTGGTTTCCAGATGCCAGAACTTCTTCCTGCCTTTGCTGATTCATTATCGGTGTCAGACAATCTGCTATGTGAATGATGATAAATGTGTGGTGCTCTGCTGAAGAAATCATGTACTCTAAGATTAACCCCATGCTGATAGCCTGCTCAGGCTTTTGCCAGTAGTTCAGAACAAACCCTGAAAGAGTCAAGCATGTTTGGTGAAGGATCATAGAAGACCTCACATCCACATTATTTAGAAATGCAAATGAGAGATTTTCAAAATTCCAGAGAGAGGGCAGGGCTAGGATGGTTAGCTGTTGTGGAAGCAGCAAAGTATTAGAGAGAAGGCCCTCGATGACACATATGTGGTTGTCCTCAGAATTTTCAAGATAGTGATCTAGGTTGGACAGAGATGGACTGAAGAAGAGAGATGAATCCCTAGACATTCTCCACAGCTGTGTGTATGCCATCCCGGGTCTATGCACTGACTAACTCCTTGACTTTAGGCAAGACTCTTGTCTTCTTTGAGCGTCAGTTTCCCCCATTAGTAAAACAAGCAAGTGGAACTAGGTGATCTCAGAGAGCCTTTATAGGACTTTCTTCTCTGGCTCTTTGGTCAGACAGATTAAGCCCTATGGCCTGTTCAGCCTGGAATCCTGATGGCCCCAAGGGATGTGCTGTGGGTACTTGCTGATCCTCTTTGATGTTACCCTCAAAGGTAGTTCATCAAACTGACCTTCCTTCTCTTACTGCTTCCCCACAAATTCTAGAATAGGTTTGAAGTAGAATAAGAAACAAATTGGTGGGTGCTCTTTGATTTTTTAATCTTGTCTTTCTTGCTTACTTTCCCTCATGTGGAAGAAGGTAGTTTTCCCACACACGAAACCCCAGTTCCTGAGATGCATTCCACTCCTGGTAGAAAGAATTTTCTTCTTCTGGCTTCATGAATTCTTTTGAGGAATTAAATGCCATTCCAAACCTAACGCCTGGGACCTAGTCATGTTTCTTTGTCAATGGTAGTTTCATCTTCTGTTCTCCCATCTAATGGGGGAAGATAATAATTATAATAATAGCTACCATTTTTATTGCTTCCTATTTTGCAGGGACTCTACTGAGTACTTTGGATACATCAGTTTATTTAATTTGCATAATATCCACTTGACACAGACTCTATTCTCCACTATTTTACAGATGAGGAAGCTGAGATTTGTAGGTTTCAATATCTTGCCAGGGTCACACAGTGAGTAAGTGGCAGAGCTGAGATTTGAACTTGCATTTTTTTAGTCCAGAGCCCTAGCACTAACCATCCTGCAGTACTGCCAATGACAAACACTTCAAGGGCACAATAATTGTCTGATTGATGGACTGCATAGGGATACTTGTCCTCCACCCAGAACTCAGCCCCAGGGCCATGCGAGTCACTCCAAGTGGTTTTCTGGGAGATCAGCCTCAGCAGAGAGAGAAAGCATGGCAGTAACTGCAGGTCTTTATTTCAGTGGTTTATGATACAGTGATGGGGCTCCTTTCGTGGACATAAGCCTTCCTAATAGCACCATTTATCATTATGACAAAGGTTAGAATGGGAGGGAACTTGAGCTGGAATGAAAGAGTAGAATTCTGATTATTTTAACAGTTGAAAGTGACATCACCTCAGAGCCTCTATCAAATGGCAAATTGGAGGCTGGACTGAAATTGCTTTAAAATATATCCAGAAATAGTTTTCTGCAGCTGTGATAAAGTCTTTCGGTGGTGTCTGGAGATGCATTTTTGTCTGAAGTGCTCGCTAAGCTGCCTGTGTGTCATCCACATGAAAGGTTGCCCCTGAGCCCCACAAGCGTCTAAGGCTCTGGGGTGCTGTTCTCCGGGCACCTATGATCTGCTGCATCTGATATTGGGGCTGATTAAGGCACACTCCCCCACTTAAAAAAATGTATTGTGATATCTTTCCATGTCATTACGTCAAGTTTTAACAGCCACATTGTTTTCCTTGGTCCATCTGGTGGGCTGAAACTAGGCTTTTATGACAATATATCCTGCCTCCTATCAATGAGTTGGAACAAGTAGGGGTGCTGGCTAAGAGCCCTCAGGATTTCCCTGCCTGTTTGATTATCCCTTTATTTATTTATTTGGCCTTCCATTCTGGAAACCTACAGGAAAGACCCACGGAGTCTGGAGTTTCAATTAACAGATTCTCCCTTTTTTCTCATCCTCAGGCAAAAGAAGGGGAATGTGGCTCACAAACACTGGGTTGGACCTTCGAATCTGGTCAAGTGCAAGCCCTGTCCTGTGGCACAATCAACCATGGTCTGTGGTTCCGATGGCCATACCTATACATCCAAGGTCAGTCTTAGTTGTCTTTTTATTGTTGTCATAAAAAATACTCCATGTGTATTTACTGTAACACGCCTCTGTGCCAAAACTGGTGTGCTCCAGGCCTTGCCCTTGAGAAGCTGCTCTGTGAAAAGACTCAGAGATACTCTCTCACTAAGGAGACAAGCAAGATAAAAATGCTCCATCCTACATAACTGGACTGGTAGAGGGCTAAAGGGAAAGGGAGGTTCTGACAGTGGTGTGAGATCCTGAAGTTAATCTGGACATGCTTCCTGGAGAAGGTGAGAGAGCAAGCTGTTCAAAAGATGCACACCATGTAGCTTGGCTGATGGATAGCAAACTAGTAAGGGAGGCTCAGTATGGTGCTTTGTGGACAGTGCAGAGAAAGGAAGGAGTGTGATGTCAGTGTACACTTAATCCACATATTGTACATCTAGGATGAGTCTGGCACTGCACAGGCCCCAGATATGGCACGGTTCCTTTCCAGGGGAACCTCAGGACTCACAGTATAATGGGAGAAGGGGCAAGTATGATGACAGGTCACTTTCCCTGAAACCAACAAAAAGAATATGGTTTCATAGCAAGGAGGGACTAGGGTGAAGTGGATCTATTTGTTCTTACTGGAGGGGTGAGAAAAAGCTTCACAGAGCAGGGCTGTTTCATCTGGTCTCTAATAATAACATGTATAGACAGGGAGACAGGGATCATGGGGATGGAGAAAGGAGTTGATGATTTATTCTTAGAACTTGAAACACATTCCTTGGGAGAAGGTTGTCCATTTGTGTCTGAGAATAGGTACATTTCACTGGGATAATGAACCAAAGAAAGGAAAACCAAGGACTTAATGAGAGTTTGCTTATTCATTCTCTTACCTAAAGACTATAAACCAAGCACTCCCTTAAGGTCTGATACTAGGCATGAGGGAGCTGGTGTGTGGGTACATGTCCCCAGGATTTTGTGTGAGACACAGCAGGGGGAAGCTCCGACCTGTCTCCTCTAGCCAGGGCTGCACCTCTTTCATCTGCTTTCTTATCTTTTTATGTAAGGTTTCACTTGTGGAGTGGAGTCTATGGCTAAAGAGGGTTGTCACAGGAGATATCCTGGCCACTCCTGGCCATACTGCCATATGGATCTCGAGCCTTTCTGTTAGAATCCCCTCCTTTTCATCCTCCCCACCCCCACCCTGCACAGACAGTCAGTGACTTCTGTTCTCTGTGATCCCCTCACCACGCTGACCCTCACATCACAGAGATGTCACAGGCTCGGGAGGACCCTCACTGCCTTCTGTTCTCAGAGGCCTATTTGGATTATTTTAAGGTTGTGGCCACTTTTCCCTACTGAATTTTTGGTGCACAGGTAATATGTTTTTATATTTTGTTCACTGACAATATAATTTTATCCTCCCACATGTTAACATTTTTCCAACAAAGGAGAATAAATCTCACAACTCAAGAAGCCAGAAGGTATGTCTGGCTTGTACTCAGACCATGGACTCTGCTTTAGAACTTCATAACATGATCATTACCTGACTGGTTCCTCTGTTCATTCAACAGGTATCATTTGAGCCCTTTCTATGTGGCAGGCACTGTGCTAGGTACTAGGGAAACGTATGATATAGTGGGAATAAAAGACTTGGCTCTTCTTCATGACCAGTCAGTAATCCTTACCTCTCCAACTCCAGACCTGCCCTGTGAGTTAAACATTCTCTGCCCGAGCTCATAGCTGGTACATCCTGGCTAAATAACTGCAGCCTACCCTAACTCAGCCCAACCCACACTTCCCCTTTCCCTTTCTTTCTTTGACCCCTAATAGATTCAAAGTCTGAGATAATTTGTAGTAACAGAGCTTGCTTCTGACACTCTAAATACATCTGGAATAGTGGATTTCAAAGAAACATTGATGAATCATTTCTGTCTCCTGTTCCCAAAGGCAAGGAGCTATCATTTTCTTCCACTTAGGGCCTAGATCCTAGGTGTGTAAACAATCAGAATCCTGTCAGAAAGCAGATTCTGATACACCAGGTGTGGTATGGGACCTGAGATTCTGCATTTCTAGCAAATTCCCTTGTGATGGCAATGCTGCTGGTCCACGGACCACACTTTGAATAGTGAGGACATCAGTTTTTATGAGTACCTCCTAACAGGTCTCTCCACCTTTAGTCTACCCCTTCTCCTCCCCAAAGTCCATTTCCACATACCAGAAGATGGGAATACTTCTGTAATAAAAGCCTGTGTGTTTCTCCTGCTTAAAATGCTGGGCTAGCTTTCCTCTTACTGCTAGAACTAAGCTCAGACTCTGCTCTTACAAACAAAGCTATTCAGAATCTGCCCCTTTCCTTCTCCACAATCATTCGTCATAGAAAGGATCTTTCATTCATTGATTCAGCAGCAGTGTATTGAGCACTTGCAGTTGTTCTAGACACTATGTAAGACACAGGGTGAGGATGGTGGGAAACAAGGCAGATACCATTCCTGCTCACTCGGAGTTGCCATCTGGTAGGGGAGACAGAAATAAATACATAACCAAGCAAATACATAGGTAATTTCAAATTTGAGTCAGTGCTACAAAGCATGGTGCCGAGGTGGGGGTAGAGAGAGGCCTGATTTGTAGGATATGGTGAAGAAAGTTCTCTCTGAAGGAGTGTCCTCTAAAGTGAGAGTGGAGAAGTAGAATGCTCCAGATAGAGATATTAGCGTGGATCACGGCAGTAAGGCAGTGTGATGTGTTAGAAGAACTGAGAGAATGCCTCTGTGGCTCTCAGGGTGAGGGGAGAGATGAGGGGGGTAGGAGGGATGAGGAGACAGTCAAAACAGGGACATTGAGCCAACCTGAAAGATATAAAGATGGTGTGGCAATTCCAGGATTTGTGGAGCACTTAGAATTATAATTGCCTTAAGAATCTGAGATCCTAGAGGCAGAGACAGTGCCTAATGTAGTTTGAATGTTACTCCCCAACAAATCTCATGTTACTTTGTGGTCCCCAGTATTGGAGGTGGGGCCTAGTGGAAGGTGCTTGGGTCATGGGGGCAAATCCCTCATGAATGGGTTGGCGCCATTCTCATGGTCATGAATGAGTTCTCACTCTATTAGTTCATGTGAGAGCTGGTTATTTTAAAGAGCCTGGTACCTCCTCCTCTCTCTGTTTCTTGCTTCTGCTCTTACCATGTGAAATGCCTGTCACCTATTTGCCTGCTGTCATAATTGTAAGCTTCCTGAGGCCTCACCAGAAACCAAGCAGATACCAGTGCCATGAAAAAACATAAGCCAAAAATAAATCTATTTTCTTTATAAATTACCCAGTCACAGGTATTCCTTTATAGCAATGCAAAATGGACCAACACAGTGCCTGTCAGCACCTTCACCAGGTGTGCGGTGTTGTATACAGTGGAAACTCAGAAAATATCTTTGCCCAGAGAGGAGGCAACAGGAGTCTAGCAGAGAAGGACTGGAGAGATTCTAGTCAGCATAACCTACCCTGAATTTGAGTGAATGGATGGAAGTGGCTTAGTGATAGAGAAAAATAGACTATTTCCTATCCTAGGCCAAGTTACTTAGCTAAACACTCAGCCTGGGGCTCTGGCAGGGAGTTAACAGCTCCTTGCAATGCCTCTCTTTTTGTGAAGAGCCTGTTAGTGTGTTCAAATTATTTCCTCCAGCTCTGGAGTAAACTATCTGATCCTCAAGTCTGAGATTGGAGATAAGCCATGAGACGTCAGTGAGTGATCAGAACTGCTTGGGAAAGTGGCATATTGCACATCAGACTCGGTAAAACCCTGCTCACTCACCTCTGTCTCTCATTCGCAGAAAGAGCTTAAAATGCCAGCTCTCTGTGGCCTCCGAGCTGCAAATAGCAGTGGTCATCTATCAGACATGACTTGAAATGTTGTCAGTTGCTCAGGGAATGTCTCTGGGAATGTTCAGTGGTCAAGGCCTCCTAGTACTCTAGGCAGAAAAGTTGGTTTTGTGTGTATGGGAAGGTTGCCTGTTTATAGTTGGCTTTTTGTGTATGGGAAGGTGCTGGTAAGTTGTTGGTTTAGGAGACAGGATCAGGATACAGACTATGCCTTTGCAATATCCTGATTCTCCACAGGAGAAGTGACCTCTACGTACTACTGGGTAGAGCCCTCAAGGACTTTTCCCAGCTTGGCACAGTGACTCACATTTATAGTTCCAGCTACTCAGGAGGCAGAGGCAGGAGGATTGCTTAGCCCAGGAGGTTGAGGCTACAGTGAGCTATGATTGTGGCACTGTACTCCAGCCTGCCTGGCAAAGCAAGGCCCATCTCTACAAAAGAGAGGGAAAGGGAGAGGGAGATAGAGGGAGAGACTGTAATTCTAGCACTTTGGTAGGGTAAGGTGGGAGGATCACTTGAGCCCAGGATTTTGAAACTAGCCTAGGCAACATAGTGAGACCTTGTCTCCACACACACACACACACACACACACACACACACACACACACAAATTAGCCAGGTGTGTTGGTACACCACCTGTAGTCTCAGTTACATGGTAGGCTGAGGAGGGAGGATCCCCTGAGCCCAGGAGGTTGAGGTTTGGTGAGCTGTGATTGTGCCACTGTACTCCAGTCTGAGTGAAGTGTAAGAGTGAGATCCCAACTTAGAGAGAGAGAGAGAGACAGAGAGAGAGAGAGAAAGAGAGAGAGATAGATTCCCCAACCCCCAGCAGCATCCTGATGTTCCTTTAGTGTTGTTGAATTCCTGTGTCAGCATGAGTGAGTTCCCAGGTTCCCAGTTTCCCAATTCTTTTCCTGGGGGCAGAAGAGACCTAAAGCATTATTATCAGAAGTTTAGTATTCTCCCATATTCCATATGGGGTATACTGAAGCCCAAAGAGACAAGGGCAGTGACAACTTTCCCCCTGATCTCCTGCCTGAGTACCTATGATCCACTCACTTCCATGTGAAGTTAAAGGAGAGAGGCTGGTGGGAGGGCACCATTGCAGTGGGAAATAGTGTGGGTGGTGGTTCTTTGGCATTAGTGTGCTAGTCTT